CCCCAGTTTTTTTTAAAATGGGGGGGCCTTTTTTGTGGGGGGGTGCATCGGGTTTTTCGGTCCCCTCAACAGCCGGGGGTTTTTGCGGATGAATTCCCCCAAAATGGAGCGCGTTTTAATGTCCCTGCTCAATTTCAACAAGGAGGGGGATTTCGCCCGGAAAAATTACGCTTTTTTTAAAAAAAATTTTGTGCCTTTTTTTTCAAACAATGGCGTTGGTAGCCCCCCGGGTTTCACTCCCGTTTTTTGAAAAGGGTTTTCGACTTCCGCTTAGCAACGAAACCAAGCCCATTTTGCCCCCCACCATTGGTCCCGGGTGCGCCAGAACATTCGCAAAAAAAAGGTTAAACCTTGCCCCCTGCCCCCGTGGCCAAGTGCGTAAAGTGGCCCAAATTTTTTTTTTCGGGGGTCGTGCAGTTTTCCCCTCCCCGGGAAAAAAGGCCGTTCGAGGATGGTGGAAATGAGCCCAGGACCCGGTGCCCCCCCCGCCCTTTTTTTTAGAGCCGAAAAAAAATCCAGGGCCAGGGGCGGGGGGTAATTTCTCTGGGGTTTCAAAGGAAAAAAGACAACCCCCCGGGGGGGGGCCCAGGAAGTTCCCAAAGAGTGGGTGACAAAATTTGGGGGGGGGCCCCCCCCCCCCCCCACATGGGGGTCGCCCTTTGCCCCTCCGGGACCCCCCCCCCCCCCTCGGTCGCGTACACCCCACGTAGACAGTCCCGATACGTCCCCCCCTCCATGGCTCGTACGCCGCAGCGCGCTATTCTCTAGCCACAGACCACTGGCGCTGTGTTAGTCAGTTCCGATACATCTTCCGCCATGCATCCTCCCACGATTCGGCGCTTGGAACCCCGAGAGCGCGATCCGGCAACGAGTGCCCGGCCATGCGTCACGACACCTCCATCGGCTCGCCTGCAGCGGGGGGGGGAGCCGATCGGCTGTCAGTACTGCCACTGCCACCGCTCCCTCGTATGTGCCGAGGGAGGAGAGGAAGGGCTCGAGGGAGGAGGAGGAGGGCCAGGCGTGTCTCTGGGGGAGCCGCCCCGTCCCTCGGCGCACCTCCGCCCCCTTGTTCGCCGGTGGCGAGCTTTGCAAGCTCGTGCTCCGCCGCCTATCAGCCGGAAGCGCCCGTCTGCCAGACAGAGTCCTCGCTGCGGGCGCAGTCGTGGGGTGCGTCGAGCGCGTGCCTGCTGGTATGAGCCGTCTGCGGCGGCGGCGAGGACCATGACGGGTATGGTCGAGGAGACGGTCAGCATCTTCTCCAGCGCGTTCATCAGCTTGCGCGTGCTCGTCGGGTAGATGTGACGCGGGTTGAGCAACAGCTCGGTCAGCCGCTGCGCCGTGAACGGCGTCTCGCTGAACTCGTCCAGCAGCGCGACCAGCCGCCGCAGCACGCTCTCGAAGCTCTCTCCGCCGTTGGGACCTGCGCGGTTCCACGCCGCTCCGACTTGCTCGCGCGCGAAGCACGCGAAGAGGCGAGGCGCGTGTGAGTGGGGAGGGCGCGCACCCGGCACGTCAGCGCAGCCCTCGTTGTACTCGTTGCACACCGCCTCGATTTTGGCCGCGAGCAGCGGCTTGAGCAGAGCCCATTCGTACCTGCTCTTGCCAGTCGTCGCAACCTCCTCGAGAACCTTGAGCAGCCCCGGAGTGATGGTCTTGCCGGGCGTGAAGGCTGCGGCAGGGCGAACGCACTTTGGTGAGCGCGTCCCGAGCAGGGGGCCAACTCCGTGGCGGGACGGGGGCAATCACCCTTGAGGGTGGCTGCATCGACGGGGCCCATGTCCGGCGGATGGACGCGGAGAAGGCACTCCGCCGCCCTTCAGGCCGGAAGAAGAATTCTCGCTGTCCTTCACAATCGCTGTGTGAGGACTCACGCTGTTCGCTGTGTGACGACTCAGGCACTCAGCGCCACCAGCCAGTACCAGACCCAACCCCCCCCCCCCCCCCCGCCTCCCACAAACGCGAACAAAAATTGGTATTGCTAAAAATCTCTCCCCAAACGCGTCGAGAAACGGGTGAACGACTCATCTGATTGCGATACTACGTCGGGCGGCCTGATTACACATCGGAGTGCATGTACGCGCCTGCGAGTGGAGGTAAATACAAGTGCAAGCTCACGTGGCCGCCTATCTACCCGTGTGAAGTTCAGACGCTCAGCCGGAGATAAGACGCCCCCCAATCTCTTTCGGCCGCTCGGCGTTCGCCTTTCTTTTAGTTTGCTCGGTTGGCCGGCGGTCGCCCCGCTGGGAGGTGAGAGTTGCGTAACAAGAGCACGCACAAGTGTACCATCAACAGTACAAGACACTGTCAACTCTACTATCTCCGTCTCACAACACACAAGTTCACTGAATGTGAACAACCCCGTCACGAACACACATATAAAAGCCCAGCCCCGACACGCCGCCTTCGTCCGCGCCTGGGCGCTACACGCCTGCCAGGTGTAGGTGGGGTCAGCCTCTGTCTTCCCAAACGCCAAACCAAACCAAAATACCAAACGCCGAGGGGACAGGCACTCTGTGTCGCGGGGGCTGGGAGGTGGGAGCGGCTCCCCCCGCGCCCCAGAGCGGAAGGAGAGATTTCAGAGGACAGAGCGCAGATAAAGCCACCTTGCATATGGTGTACAAGGGGGAGCTCACTCTGTGCGTTGCAGGCCACGCACATCGAGCTTGGCGGGACATCCAGGCCGACAAGCACACACAGTGAGTAAACTAGGGAGACCGATCCTTGGTGCGCGGCGGGCGCCCTGAGGCACGCCGCACGCCGGGCTCTTCTCTCGGGCTGAGCTCTCCCCACACTGTGCGTGCGGCCACAGACGTGATGGCCCGCTCGCACGCGCAGAGAGGTCAACCAACCGCGAGACTGCCCAAGATAGCTCACAGATGCTTGCCGCCGCCGCCGGAGCAGTCGTCGTACTTGTCCTCGCACTCGCCCTTGCACGGGCCCGGGTTCGAGGGGTTTGCCTCCTGGCACTGGCCCTTGCAGGCGCCGCACTGGCTGCCGCCACCCGGGGCGAAGAGGATCTCACGTGCGGGGAGTGCGCCGGCGAGCGCGGCAACGATTGTGAGGAGGATGACGCGAAGCATGATTCTCTGCGGGCACGGGTGGGCGGCTTAGGCGTGTGTGGTGGCTAGAGAGGCTGTGGCGAGAAGGCGTGGATGCGAACGCTGACCAGCTGGGCTTCTCGAAGACCAGTTGGTCGGGGGTGAGGGCGGAGTGAAGAGCGCCACTTTTCAATCAATGCGGCGGATGTTCCCCCTTTTACGCCCGTTTTTGCTATTGCAGCCCTATCAACCGCCCAAGGTGGGCAATAAGGTGTGGGTGCCGACACTGTTCCGCCCACCTCACAGCTGCACCTCCAGCCATAAATCCCGTGTGCGCATGTGTCGGCGGTCGGGTGGGTGGGTGAGTGAGTCACTTTAGAGAGAGAGAGAGAGAGAGAGAGAGAGAGAGAGAGAGAGAGAGAGAGAGAGAGTGAGTGAGAGAGTGAGAGAGTGAGAGAGTGAGAGAGTGAGAGAGTGAGAGAGAGAGCCGGCGCTACTGCCCGAGCAGTGGTCGCTGGTCGTGGAACTGGTCGTGCGGGACCCGTTTTGGCAGCTCACAGCCGATGGTCAAGCAGCTGTGAGGCGGCGGCCGGGCGTGCGGACAGGGGCAGGAGAGCGCTTGGAGCACTTGGAGCACTAGCTTCCTTGGAGTGCAGTCGGTAGCCTCACACCCAGGGCCGGGGAGCTAAGAAGCGCTTCCAGCGGGCCGGAGTTTTTGAGTGAGAGCGCCTTCGTTGTTAATAAGAAAAAGGAGAGGGTCCACCTTGTCGCAGTCACACACACACGACACACACACACTGCACGCCGGTCGCCGCGCACCGCGCACACGTCCACCGCCGGCCCGGGAAGAGCTCTTCCCAGGAAGAGCGTAGACGTCGATAGTGGATAGAGCGTGAGAGAGCGTAGAGTAGACGTCGATGACGAGCTCCGTAGCGAGTAGAGTACTGTAGTCTGTAGACCGTACGCACAGTATTCACTTTTTAATTTTAAACTGTGTGCATTCATAGTACTTATAACGTAGACAACCCCTTTCAGACAACCAGCTAGATGGCGCCTTCCCAGATCCCACAGACGGAGACTACTTCGTCGAGTTCATGTCGTGCCGCTCTTTTGGTCCGCGCGCGGCCCGGATCCCTTCAGGCAAGAAGATCGCGCAAATTCTGCCCTTGCCACCGGACAGCTGCGTCGTCCGGGTGCGCCTGCATAGCCCCTGCCACCGCCACGGTCGCGCCCGCAGTCACAGCTCGCTGCCTCCGCGCCTGCGCTGCAGCGTCGCTGCCAGAGCACACTTTGACCAACGCCAAACAGCCATTCTGCTGCACGCCCGCCACCAGCGGGTGCGCCTGCATCGCCGCCACAGCCACCTCGATGCAACCCGCGTCTGCTGCGCGCTGCTTGCGTACGAGCCCTGCGGCGTCGGTGCCGAAGCACACGTTGTTCATCGCCAAGCAGCCAAACTGCTGCACGCCCGCCACCTGCGGGTGCGCCTGCAGCGCCGCTACGACCACCTCGATGCTGCCCGCGTCTGCTGCGCGCTGCTTGCGTGCGAGCGCTGCGGCGTCGCCGCCGAGACACACGTTGCCCAACGCCCTGCAGACATTCTCCTGCACGCCCGCCACCAGCGGGTGCGCCTGCAACGCCGCCACAGCCACCTCGATGCAACCCGCGTCTGCTGCGCGCTGCTTGCGTGCGAACGCTGCAGTTTCGCTGCCACAGCACACGTTGCCCAGCGCCAAGCAGCCATTCTGCTGCACGCCCGCCACCTGCGGGTGAGCCTGCAGCGCTGCCACGACCAACTCGATGCCGCCCGCGTCTGCAGCGCGCTGCTTGTGTGCGAGCGCTGCGGCGTCGCTGCCGGAGCACACGTTGACCAGCGCCCAGCAGCCAGCCAGCTGCACGCCCGCATGCTGCGGGTGAGCCTGCAGCGCCGCCACAGCCACCTCGATGCCGCCCGCGTCTGCTGCGCGCTGCTTGCGTGCGATTCCTGCGGCGTTGGTGCCGGAGCACACGTTGCCCAGCGCCAAGCAGCCATTATGCTGCACGCCCGCCACCAGCGGGTGCGCCTGCAGCGCCGCCACAGCCACCTCGATGCCGCCCGCAGTCACAAATCGCTGCCTCCGCGCCCGCGCTGCGGCGTCGCTGCCGAAGCACACGTTGGCCAGCGCCCAACAGCCATTATCCTGCACGGCCGCCACCTGCGGGTGCGCCTGCAGCGCCGTCACAGCCAACTCGATGCCGCCCGCGTCTGCTGCGCGCTGCATGCGTGCGAGCCCTGCGGCGTCGGTGCCGAGACACACGTAGCCCATCGCCCAGCAGCCATAGTGCTGCACGCCCGCATCCTGCGGGTGCGCCTGCAGCGCCGCCATGATCGCCTCGAGCGCGCCCGTGTCCGCCGCAGCTTGCCTGTTCTGCTCGTCTTTGCACAGATCAGCCAACCGCCCGCAAGCCGCAAGCGCGACGCGACTGACCGACCCGTGCGCCCGCAGCGCCGCCGCCGTCGCCGCCACGCCCATCGCCCGCACCTCCGCATCGCTCGGTGGCGCAGAAGCGGGGACATGAGTAGCAGAATGGCTGGAGCCGCCGCCGCCGCCGCCGCCGCCGCTCGGCGCAGCGTGGCGCTGCCGCTTGGGTGCCGGGCCGGCGCTCGCACTCCCCTCCGCCGAGTTCTTGCGCACGGCCGCCATCACCTCGGCCCCCATCTCCATCTCGACCTCGATCACGTACGCCGGGTACATCTGGCGCGACTCGTACACCACGTGCACGATGGACGCGTTGCACCCGTTCTCGCCTCCGCCGGAGACGAAGGGGCGGTGCGGCCCGCCGCGCACGCTGTCGTAGAGGAGTCGGGGAGGGCCCTCGACGCGCACGTCCGGCATGCACATCGCCCTCGTCTCCGCGCTGATGCGCTGCATCTCTTGCTGCGAGCCGAGGGCGGCCTTGACGATGAGCAGCTGCACGCGGCTGCCGCCCGAGCCGGAGATGCGGTGCGCGTACCGGCCGCCGATCGGGTAGGACGGGTCCTCCGCCAGGTAGATGCCCTTGCCGTAGAAGCCGCCCTTGGAGAAGCGCGGGTCGAGCCCGTTCTGATGCGCGAGCACTTCCGCCGCCGCCCGCTCCGCCGTGCCGTGGAAGAGGAGCATCTCGTTGACGTCGCCGCCGGCGCAGGTGTGGACGAGCTGGTCGTCGCGGTAGTTGGCGTACGCGCGCCACAGCATCTTGTTCTGCACGCGCTGCACGCGGCTCAGCCTTGCGCTCGGGCAGCTCCGCGCCAGCAGCGTCTTGATGAGGAGCGCTTCGTTGCTCTGCATCGAGAGCGGGACGAGCTTCGACTCGGTCGGGCCGCCGTCCCCGCCGCCGGCGCCCCACTCTTCGGGGAACGTCATTGGCAACGGGCGCGTCGGTCCGCGGTCAGCAGCGGCGAGTCGTCGGCGAGTCCGCCGGTGTGAGCTTTTTCTTTTGAGAGCGCTTTCGTTTAAATGTCCACCCATACCGCGTTGGTGTCCAGTCCGAGCCTGTTCTTCACCTTACTACCTACCTACCTACTCAAACAACCCAATGGTCCCTTTCGAGCGGTCCCTTGTCGCATTCTCACGCACGCGCACGCCGTCGGGGGATAAAGGGGAACATTTTTGTTCGTTCAAAAAGAGCGCCTTCAGCACTACTCTATCGAGGTCTCAGCGAAGCGCATCGCAGTTGTCAGAGAGAGAGAGAGAGAGAGAGAGAGAGAGAGAGAGAGAGAGAGAGAGAGAGAGAGAGAGAGAGAGAGAGAGAGAGAGAGACGCACGACAATGTTGGAGTAGTTAGCGTATCAAGACGAACACATGCATCGGGAGTGAAACGCCTCGTCGGAGACCGTCGTGCAGCGCGGCGCGAGGCGCTAGTCGAGGCTGACGACGTCTGTGAAGAGGACGCGCGCAAAACCAGGGGCGGTGGGAGGGGGCGGTGGCGCCGGTGGCGCGGCACAAGGCCCGGTGGTGCGGCAGGAGGGGCAACGGTCAACGGACCTAGGTTGGACTTCGGGTCTTCGCGCGCGCGCGCCTCCGCCTCCGCCTCCGGCCCCGGCCTGAGTGAATCATTCGAGACGCGTCAGCGCCGTGTCGTGTGGGGCGGCGCCGCGCGGGCGCTGGGGCAACGGCACGGGCGGTGCGCCTGGCTCCCTGCTCGTCGACGAAGGACCTTGGCGCTTCCCAACTGCTCCTTCGCTTCGGGCTCTGTGCCGGCACCGCTGGCGAGGTCGTGACGGTGGGGTTACGTGCAGCCTTGGTAGAGACGGCCTTGGAGAAGGCAGCCTGCGATCGAGAAGAGGGGGAGATCGAGCGAGATCGGCCGATTCTCTGACCCGTTGGCAAGGCGTTGCCTGGTCTAGACGCATCGCCTTGAGCCGCGAGCACTCCTCAGCCTCGGATTCGTCGTCCGCGCTAGGCGTTCCCGCCGTGAATGAGATCATCGAGTTCTCCTGGCGGCGACGTCGCGCGAGGGGCTGGTCCTAGGTTCCGCGACCCGCCGCCCGAATGCTATTTCCCCCTCCCTCCCGTTCCAGAGAAGCGCTCTATCCGACAGCATCTACTCTCCTCCTTCATCAAGAACCACTCACTTGTATTGGTGGTGAGTGGCTCAGACGCACAGATGAAGGCGCCGCCCTCTACAGTCTGCTCGAGCTTGCGGCACTTTGGGCAGGTGCAGCCAAAAGTTGAGCCGTGCCCTGGGTTCTGTGGCGCCTCGCCGCCCTCGGCACACAAGCGGTTCAGCCTACTCACAGAAGACGCATGCGGCGCCGAGACGCCAATCGGCTATAAGAAGACGACAGCGAACCCGGTGGCGCCGTGCCCCGGAGTGAGCTGCCCGTGCGGGACCTGCTTAGACGGGCCTGATTTCGAAAGGTGTGTTCCTGAGCATCATCTCGGCTGGAGGTCAAGGCCTGGCTCAGTTGCAGCTGAAGCTGGTGCGATGACGCAAACGCGTAGTAGAGAGAGGGTGGCGGGATGTCGGGAGCCTTGTCGCAGTAGCGCGCCACCACCACCTGCTCACCGCAAGAGGTGTAAGAGGAATATGCGCGCACAGTGCAGCTGGCAGTCTGCCGCCGCCGCACTGAACTGCCGTCCGTCAGGGCAAAGTTGAACGTGGAATAGCCTGTTCGAGGCCGATGCTGTGACGACATGCCATTCATGGCCCGCTCCGCTTAGAACTGTCGAAGCGCCCTCCACCACGCCCGCATCCGCGAGGAAGCCCCGGAGTGTTGCGATGGCGCTGAGCATCGCCTTGCGCAGCACGGCCACTGGCACGCACTCGCCACCGGCAAGCAGCTCTGGCTCGATGAGGGAGAGGATGAGGGCAAAGCACGCCTCCGAGTCGGTAGTGCCCTGCACCCAGTGGTACACCTGCAGCGGTCATGCGAGGTGAACCGAGAGGCGCCAGAAGCCGAGTCGCTTGCAGCAGGTGGCGGACGTCATCGCGCATCGCAGCGAACACTCGCCGCTTGATGCGGTCAAAGCCCTCGACGTGTCCGTTGTGCTGGAAGAGCAGACGGCCTGTGACAACAGCAACGGTGAAGAGACGCGGTTCACGGCTGCGTCGGCACGGCACCTCCAGGCCTGAACGCCGTAGCGGAATGGGTGGCAGTTCACCTCGGAGATAACAGAGCCCGATGCGGCACGCACGTGCGCAAAGATGCAGCGTGACTCGATGGACTCGGAGAGCTCCCGCAGGTTGCTGTTGTTCCACGCGGCCGTCACCGACCGGAAGATTGCGCCGCCCCGCTTGTGGTACCAGCCAACCCCAAAACCGTCCGCATTCAGCTGTTGGCGGTGGGAGTGGGGACGGGGTGCGTTGGGCAATATTCGGTGAGGTGAGGGCTGCGCAGAAGCGCTCGCGGGGACAACCGACGCCAACGATGAGATGCGAGTTGCGTAGGAGTGTCTCGCGGGGAGCGCCGTCCTGCATGTTGTTCTGGTCGGAGAGGCCTGGAAGCAGAGGCAATGGTGAATGCGTGTTGGTGCGCAGAGATCTCTCTGGGCGGTGCACCAGGGTGGAACCCTCCGTTGAACGACTGGTGAATGAGCGAGTTGGTCGGCGCAAAGATGAGGTCGGACATCAGGATCGGGTCACTCCCACAATAAACGAGCCAGCGGCACATGGCAGGTGAAGACCCCGGCCGGGATGGCAGGCTGCAAGCGGAATGGACGAGAATGGACGGCAAGCGGGTTTCCTTGTTTTCCTATATTTGAATGAAACCGAAATCCGTAGTGTTGCTGCACTAGGCATCCCGTTTGCAGTGTCGGCACTTGTGGGAGAAAAGGGAGAGTGAGGCGCGCTTTCTAGGGCCCCCGGGGGCCCTACCACTCGTCAGCGCAGTCGGAGACGGAGAAAGAAGCCGTCACGTGTCGCCGTTGAACGAATCTCTCTCTCAGTGTGTACGAGCTTGTACGTACTTTTAGCTGTGTGTATCGCGCGCTAGCTTAATGGGAGAATTTTAATCGGAGCCCTTCTGCCTCCGTGGCCACCGTCGGAGCGGGGTGCGCGGCCGAGGAACCCCCCGAGGTGGCGGCGCAACCCTCATCGTCGTCGCTCGGAGCCTCCGCTCCCGCCTCGGACTCCGACTCCTGCTCCACACCTCAACCTCCACCTCGTCGTCGCCACGCAGCGCCCCCTCCACCGCAGCCTCCACCTCGTCCTCCGCCTCCGTCGCCACCGCTCGGGGCCCCCACTGAGGCACCACACGCCGGTGCATCGAGACAAGTGCGGTCTCAGACACCACAGCCAGATGCAAGGCTCGCCGGCACGCCGGGCCGGCTGTCGCCGATGCATCGAGCGGCCGCTTTGCGGAGCGCCGCTCTCTCCGCGGCGCGTAGTCATGCGGCCCGGCATGGCCTGCCGGCAGAATACACCCAAAGGCCCCGCTGACGCGCTCGTGCGTGTTGCCGCAGAGCCTCCCTCGTGGCGCGCTGAGCGGTGCAGACGCCGCCAGAGGAGAGGGCGCCGCACGCCGCCAGTCGGTGCCCTCTTCGCGCCACGTGAACCAGTGACAGACTGCCCCATCGGACGGCGAGCGGGCCACCGCCTGGAACCAGCCATCCGCCATCGTCGAGTAGGGGTTGGCATTCAGCCAGGAGAAATCTCAACCAAAGAGAAATCACGCTGTTGTTCTCTTCAGTCAGTCAGCCGGGAGGGGAGGGAGGGCTAGAGGGAGGGGGAAGGAAGGAGGGAGGGCCGGAAGGATAGGAACGGGAAGGGAAGGAAGGCTAGCTAGCTAGCTAGCTTGCTTAGGGGTCCCGTACCATGCGGAATCGACCCTATCCAGTCAGTGCTCAAGTGCTCAAGCTTGCTTGGTTGGTTGGTTGGACACTGAGGGAGGGTGTAGAGGATGTAGAGTGTAGAGCGCTGTAGAGCTGTAGAGATGTAGAGCGCTCTGGAGCGCTGTAGAGCTGTAGAGCTCTACATCCGCCGCGTGACGAACTGCGTGCGTTGTAGAGCGATGTAGAGGCGCTCTACAACGTGAAATCTCTACAACAAACTCTACATGATAAGCGGCGAACGAGGCACGGTCGCTCTCCGACATGAGGCGCGTTGCACTTGCCAGTGCTGCCCTGGCCTTCTGTCTGCCCGCCCAATGGGTGGCAGGTGCCTCTGCTGCTGTGGCATGCCTCACGGCTGCGACTGGCCGGCGCCTCGGCGCGTCAGCTCGGCTCGGCGTAGCGATAGCCGATAGTGGCCAGCGCAACTCGCTTGGACTCAACGCTCAGGCCAGGAGCTCCCGCACGCGCTGGCGCGAGTCATGGCGCATGCAACGCGCAGCAATGCTCGCCTCGCCTCGCGCAAATGCGACCGTCCTCGCAGCCGACAGTCCACCGCCTGCTAAAGAAGCACAGCGACGAATGCGGCACCGGCGACGTATGGCAGGCTGGTCATGACGCAGTTATAGGGTGTTGTGTGCCGTCAGAGTGACTCTCTGTGTAGTCAGGGCCGTCCATCAGAGCTCCAGTAAGCTGGGAGACACCCCATTAGCGCGGCTCGACCTCTTTAAGCCACTGCCTTCCCGGCGGTTTGGCTGTAGAGCCTCTACAACAAACTCTACAGCAAAATCGCGCTCTACATCGCTCTACAACGCACGCAGTTCGTCACGCGGCGGATGTAGAGCTCTACAGCTCTACAGCGCTCTACATCTCTACAGCTCTACAGCGCTCTACACTCTACATCCTCTACACCCTCCCTCAGGTTGGACATTGCTCGGAGCTCTCCCGACGCTCTCCTCCTCCTACCTAGCCGTCTAGCGGATTTCCCCAAATTCGCGAAAAAAGGAACCGGGGCGCCTCCGGACGGCTCCGTGCCGATGCCGAAGGGGCCCGCTAAGTTTGAAAGCTAATGTTACTACTAATGTTATACTCCGACACATCGAAAGTGGGAGCGAAAACTCAGCCTTGAGTTCTCAGCGCCCTCACGGCCCGCCGATGGCAAACCCGACTCCCTCCATCCGTGTGGCGCCGCCCGATGGTGCCGGGAACCCTATTCCGGAGCGATTTCCCCTAGGGTTAGCGCCGAGAAAGCCGGGCCCCTTAGCTCCGGCTAGGGCTGCGGGGCCTCCGAAGCCGACCCGAGGAAGGGCCGACTTAAGGGTTAGTATAGCGGGCCGATAAGGCCGCCCACACCCGCGAGGATGGCTGTGTGTTTGCCTCCCCGACTCGGACGGCCGCCTCAGAGGGCGGGAGTGCTTCCTATCGCCCTCTCACCCGCGGGTGATGGCCGAGTCCACGGAGCCGCACGCTGCCTCTCCTTCGACGCAAGGCTCCGACTTCTATAGAGAAAACCCCATCTGCACCAGCGTTTTAAAGTGAAATCGTCAAGAGAAATCGATGCACCGGGCTGGGCTTTGGGGTAGGCAGCCACCTTTTTGAAGGTGAGGCGTATCTGCCGACCTGTGAAGACGCTTTACTTGCGAGCAGTGCGTCGACCAGATGGCGCGAGGGCACCGCAACATGGCTAAGGAGGCAGGGAAGCTTCTGCTCCGAGACGGCCGCTCAGGACCGCAAAATGGTGTTCCTGAAGGTTGTGTTAGTCGGACTGGCCAGTCCCCGGGGCCTGACGGTCCAATGATTCCCTCAAGAGTACTTCTCCCCTACCCCACCCTTCCACTTTAGATGTGTCGGACCATGCGGGGCGCGCGCACTAAGACAGTGATGGTAGCTCACCTAACCCGTCGCACCAGGGCTCCAATTCCATCTCTCGCTCGCGGATCTCGATCCTACCGTGCCAGTACGGCGGTCTGGGCACGAAATTATTCCTCCCCCAGCGGTTCATGAAGATATAAAAGAAGAAACCGGTGTCGCCACTGTGAACAGCGACTTTTGAGAGCTCACAGCCCGAGCTCGAGCATCGCCTTGATGACCTTCTCATCAAGGTTTGCACGCCGCAGCTCGGCGACGAAGTCCGCGTGCTGCTTGAGGAAGCCGTCGACGATATCCGCTGCCGTCTCCTCCCCTTGCTCCTCGAGGCGGCGGGCGGGCGAGCACGCGATCTCTACCTAACCTGCGCCGCGCTCGGCGAACCTCGACAGCGCCCGGTGGCATGCAGCTCTTTGCGACAGAAGCCTGGAGAGTGCGGCTGCCACAGCTGTCACAGCGATGGGCTCGCCCTCACTGGCCCTCAGTCACTTGTGCTGCGGCTTGTGTGAGCGACACTGCTCGGCGACTGCCGGCACAGTGTGAGACCATGGGTGTGAGGTAAAACCACGGTACCAGCGCTTGGTTACATCAGCCCTGAGGTCAGATCCTTCTACTCTGTTGATGACAAGACTTGTCTACTCGCTGGAGCCGAGCAGGAGGGCCCGGCGCACAACCCCCGGTCAACTCACCCTCCATACCCCGTATACTGACGGGGGCGGCTCGAGCCTCGAGGCACCCTGCGTGGTGGTGCCGCCGTAATCGGCTGCGCCACACGTGTTCACTCACGACCCGAGGCAGGACGGGTCCTGCCCTCGATACACATATACCGTACCACACAGTACCTCTCGTACCACAATACACAGTCACATAGCATAGGCGCGGCGAAGGGTGAGGCTGAGGGCGATTGACAGCTGATGCCGGACGATTACGTGCGCACACACACCCTCATCTAGACCCTCAGCCGCGGCCATCGGCGGCTTTCACGTGGTCGTAATTCGATGGCTCGTCCGCCTCATCCGCACTATCGTCCTCACACTCGCCCTCGACGATCGCGGCGGTGCGCAAGAGCTGGTTCGAGGCCACCACGGCCTTGATCACATCCGCGAGGCGGTGGTGGCGGGCATTGATCGTCGCGTACACGGAAGAGATGGGGAAGCTGTAGACGTGCGGCCGGATGCGCTGGTGCGGCTGCGCGTGCTCGAGCAGCCCCTCGGGATCCTGCAGCTCCACGTCAAAGCCTCGGATTATCGTGTTGATGACGGTGTACAGCAACCACGTGTACCAACCAGTCAACAGCTGGCGACGGCGGGATCGATGGGCTGCTCCACTGGTCGGCGGCAATTGCAGCCGCGCCGGGCATGAGCAGCGTCAGGAACGCGCTAACGGTCATGGGGACCGAGAGCGGACGTGGGGCGAAATTCACGGGACGGAGGGTGGGCGGCCAGAGAAGGAGCAGCAGGGCGAGCACAAGGAGCAGCATGGGGGTGACCGCGTCGGATGTGCCCGAGGCGAGCGCGCAGCGGAGCGAGCCCTGCACGAGCGCCATGAGACTGGTGATCTTGTCGAGGATGGATTTGCGGCGCACGTTGTCGCCGTGGCTAGTCTGAGGCAGGAGCTGCGTGAAGTTGGTGCGCGGCGACGCGCTCGACCACGAGATCTCATCGCGGCAGACGACTGCGTCAGAGCACCGCGTCTCTGCCATGCTTTCCGCCGGAGCTGCCCCCGATGTCCGGGCCCGCGAGAAGCCGGCGTACCGGGCGACGCCCTCGCCCGTCGCCGAGTTGAGCGAGGATGCGTTGCAGCCGGTCGTGCACTCGTTGCACTCTTCGGTCGCGTCCTCACACTCGCCGATCGCGTGCGCCGACGCGGCGGCCCCGACCCGAGCCATGTCGCCAAGCGAGAGGCGGGCGCCATCCCGCGCCGCGTCGCGGGGCCATCGCCGCCCGCTCGAGATCGGGAGCGCCGCAGACGGTGCAAACGCCGTTCCGCGCACCGTCGGGCTGAACTCGTTCTTTGGCGTGGTGTTGGAGAGGTCGAGAACCTGCGAGATATACACGAGCGCACGCGACGGAGAGTCAGGGCGTGCTGGGAGCCATTGCGCTCCAGTTCTATTGCTCACCGGGATCGCGACCGCGTCGGGCACGGACACCGCGTTGAGGAGCTCGGAGACGCCGGCAGAGCCGTAGGAAGACAGAGCAAAGGCCGAGCAGCCCAGACCGATCACCACGGAGAAGAAGATGCACAGTAGCTTTGTCGAGCAGAACTTGCCGAAGCGGAAACCGGAGCGCGTCGAGGTCGGCTCCGTCTCCTGGAACAGTGCGGACGAGGGTTAGTCACGAGCAGAGCGCGCTGCACGGGCAAGTACGCGCCGAAGGCGTCGACGACGTCGGCGGGGCGTCGCCGACAGACGCTTCGCCGGAGCCGACGCCAGCGAGGTCTTCCTCGTCGTCGAACGCGTTGCCGGAGCCGACGTCAGCGAGGTCTTCCTCGTCGAGGTCCGTTCCGAGCAGAGCCGCGAACCCGTTGGGGTCGACGCGGCCGATCGGGGTGAGGTTCTTGGTGGTCTTCTTGGAGCGGTCGATCAGGTTGGACTCGCCCTTGCGCTCGATCTTGCGGAGCGGGGAGGGGGTCTTCCACTCGTCGATGCCCTGCGCGTGACGTGCGGCAGACGAGAGGTCACAGGGTCAATGTAAGTGCCCGCCTGTAGGACTCGCGTGTCCCCGCAATACTCGCGTGTGCACAGAAGGGTGCTGGGAGGTGCTCACCGCCGGGGCGGCCGTCTCCTCTGGAAACTCCTTGGTCGAACAGTCGGCGTCGCCCTACGCGTCGAACGCGGGATGCGGTCACATAGTGGGTCGGCAGACGCCGGCGCGCAGAATGCCAGGCGCTCGCCGCCGGGGCTTTGATAGAAGGCAGCGGCGCGCCGCCGGCCGCCGCCGGCTTGAGGGCCGTGGCGACCTTGGTGGCGAGCTTGAGCGCCGGGTCGATCTTGATGGCGCCGGTCTCGTCAACGGAGGCCTCCGCGCCAGACTCTGCCGCAGGGATGTCCTTCTTGAGGGCGCCCTTGACGGCACCGGTGGGGGCCGTCGATGGGCCGGCCGGGCGCGTAAACTTAGACCAGAAAACTGCGGGCGGGCTCGGCGCGTGGGCGGCGGACATGGCCTTGGCCTTGTCCGAGCCGACCGCGCCCGCGTCGGGCGCCTTTTCCGCGGCCGGGTCCTTCTTGAGGACGCCCTCCGGGCCAGACTTTGCCACGGAGATGTTGACGTTCTTGACGCCGCACGCCTGTGGGCGAGGGAGAGTACGCGCAGGCTTTCGGAGACGGGAGAGGGAATGATCACGATCCTAGCGTGCGCACGCGCACCTTGGCTCCGGGGAGCGAGGGCGACACCGACGCGGAGATGACGAGCGTGATGCGGCCGTCGTCAGCCGGCACGATTCCGACCTTCGCGGAGGACGTCATCGGCGAAGACTCGCCCTCGACGTTGCCGCCGCCCGCGTCAATGCCGTCCTTGAGCGGGCCGGGCTCGGGCGGGACGGTGCCGGTGCCAGTGCTGGCGGTGCCGGTGTCGATGCCATCCTTGAGCGAGACGGGCTCGGAGGGGATGCCGACGGCGTTGCCGCCGCCAGAGTCGATGACGGTCGTGTTGTCCGCCAGAGACGCCTGTCAGCCACAGAACGAGAGAGGGTCGTCTTGCAGGGAAAGCGCAGCGTTGCGTGCGTTGCCGCGGTGCGCGCGTGCATACCCCCTCCCTCAGCCACTGCAAATTAACGCACACCTGCTTGTCAGCAAGCGGCGGCGGAGGAGAGAGCTTGAGCACGAGCTTGTTACCGGCGGCCGGCACGAACTCGAGATTGAGCATGTTGATCGAAAGAATTCCTGCAGAGAGGCAAGAAGCGGTTGAAGGTGGTGTCCCCGATGGGAAGTGCAGGCCAGCGCTCGATGGGGGGTGCAGGCCAGCGCTCAGAGTGGCCCTAACGGCTGCGGACACAGCGTGGGAGAGTAGCAGAAATGCGAGCAGGCGGGAACTTTGCTCGGCGGGCTCAATCTCAGGTCAATCTCGGCTCGTACTCGTAGCAGGAAAGGCAAACGCCTACGGGATGTATGTGGGGGGTATACGGGTATGATAAAATCTCGGGGAATCTCCCCACGAAACGATCAGTCGCGCGATCTCGAGCCCGCCCGCCACCCACCCACCCAGCCCCGCAGCACTGGCGCGATCTCGAGCCAACCCGCCCCTCTCGAGCCTCGCCTACACAGATCAAAAGAATTCAGCCGGCGGCCGCACAAAAAATGGTGCTGCCCAAGGGCATGTGCATGCTGAATGGGAAGAGAGGGCGAGCCGGAGAGGAGAGAGCCGCGCCTACGGGCAGCGGGCCGCGGCGTGAGCGTCGAGACAAGGCCGCCGGCACGCTCTCTCGCGTCCTCGGCGCTCGGACTGGAGCCGGGCGGCGATTGGCGAGCAAGCGAGAGCGGGGGTCGCTCTCTTGCCAGAAGAGAGAGAGGGCGGTCGCGCGCGGGACAAGGGTGGGGAATGGGCAGCAGCGGACGCGTCTCGCGCCCTCCTCGATGGTACCTGCGAGCGGGAGTAGGCAGGCGGTGCGAGCTGAGGGGGGTACAGCCGCTCCGCGAGCGAGAGCGCATCGCACGGTGGGGGTGGTGAGGGGGCGGCGGGTTCCGTGAGCAATAGGCGTCGCGGGGGTCTAGGTGTGCAGCTCGCGGCGGCATAGTCGGGCGCAATGCGGCGCGGCAAGCGCGAGCGGACGAGGAAAGTGCCATGGCTTGCCTGGCGTGGATGTCAGGCAAACGCCGTCGGGGAACATGGGGTACAGGTTCTCTGGTTCTCTGGAAATCCCAGACTTTTCCCATCAAATCCTGGATTTTTTTTTCGATTGCACGGAGGCAGGTAGGTAGGAAGGAAGAGTCAATTCACTAGGGAGTGTCAGGCAACGGATTGAGAACAGTGATCCACTAAGAAAATGTCAGCCGCCTGCACTAGCCGCCACGCATCCTCAGCGAATGTAGGGTACATTGGGGACATGGGGTACAGTTTTCCAAAAAAAGAACGAGCGAGATTTAGCCGAGAACGAGCGAGATCTAGCCGAGCTCGACAAGCACCTGGCGGTGGTGCTTCGAGCGTGGTCCGTTCCTAGACCCTTCCATCCTGGACCGTTCCTGGAGCCCTCCTGGTCCCACCGTTCCTAGACCCTTCCTGGACCGTTCCTAGAGCACCACTAGCGATTTCGCGCGGAGGGCGTAGTGAAGTGCTGGGGCGCTCACTGTGTTCTCTCGAGGTTCTCGAGGTGGATATCCTTTGGCCGCGTTGGGTAGCGAGGATTGGTGTAACCCGAGCCACGGAGGCGTGTTTTCTGGCGGCCGACCGTCAGTGCACGGAGTTGCCCCTTCTCCGACTGCCCCGGCTAGTTCCCGAGGTCGCGCGGGAGTGACCCCATGCGTCAAACCCGAGACCTAGCGCGGGTGGGTTGGAGGGGGCTCGCCCCGTTCCTCCCCATCGGGCCGCATAAGCGGCCACGCCTCGCAGATTCGTTTCTCGCGCCTGGGTCAGGCGCGCGGGGCATCCCCCGGGTCGCTCGACCAGCGATCCAAAGAGTGGCCGCTATGCGAAGGAAAGAGTGGGGCCCTCGGGGTACGCCTCGTCCGGCCCCCTCCGAGGGGGGAAGGGAATTGCGGGGTCCCCTCGGGCGCCTCAGTTCGGCCCTCCCGAGGGGGGAAGGGGAGCAAGGGGGTGGGGGGGGTTGGGGTGGTGGGGAGGGGTCTCTGTTTCATGCACGCCGTGCCGACGCTCGACGCCACCGCGAGCGACGCCGAGCTCTCTCGCCAGCTCTTCCTCGAACAGCTCGCCGCCTCGTCCGCCCAGATGAAGCTGCCTAACGGCCCGTCCGAGGCCGAGGACGACTACTCGCACTACGACACGCCGCTCGGGCTCACGCCCGCGCCGCTGCCGCTGGGCCTCGCGAGCAGCCTCTCGGCGCGCGCCAGTCGCCCCTCGCGCGCCAGACGAACTGATCCTATTCCGACGAGGAGGACGGCTCCACCACGACCGTCATGTGCCGGAGGGTTGCGGAGCTCAGGGAGCGTACACTGTCTCGAGGAGCGGGCAAGCGGGCGGCTGTGAGGGAGCGTCTTCACGCGGCGAGTGCTGCGAACAGGAGCGGCTCGAGGCGAGCAAGCGGGCAAGCAAGCGGGCGGTGGAGGCGCGGCGGCGCGGAGGCGGCGTGGAGGGGGCGGGGGGGCGACGCCCCATGACATGTCCTAGATATGGTCCCGCAGGCGGAGGCACTTGAGGAGATGTATGAGGAGGCGTTGATGGACAGCGCCGCAGCGGCGCTGCAGGAGTGCCACCGCGGTATCGTGTGGAGCTTTGCTAGAGCCTTGTTGAGAGCCTTCCGCCCCTCCCCCTACCCCAGGCCCGCCACCGCGGCAACTTGGGCCGCGCCAGTGTTGCGCGCCTCCAGGCGGCGGCGGCGGAGGCGGCGGAGGCGGCGGAGGCGGCGGAGGCGGAGGCGGAGGCGGCGGCGGCGGCGGCGGCGGCGGCGGAGGCGGCGCGCCAAGAGGCCGAGGCAGCGGCGGAGACGCTCGACGAGTCGGACTCGGACGGCGACTTGTGGGCCGACGCCGTGAGCAGTCGGCCGGTGGTTGCCACTCCGCAGGCCGTGCGGCGGAGCAGCGAGGAGTGGGCCGAAGCGGCGCCGTCGGAGCCAGGACCGTGCTCGGCCGGCGGCGCGTATCAGGCTGCGCCCCCGGCTGCGCCGCCGCCTCGCGGAGAGTGGGCCCGCTTCCTGTCCGAGGGGGGCGACCCCGAGGCGGCGCGGCGAGGGTGGCTGACCTACCACATCGGCCGGCGCAACTACCGAGCGGCGATGGACCTGGTCGTGTCCACCGACGAAGAGGCGCGCGTGCGTGAGGCCTTCGCGGCTGCGGACACCGCGAGCAGGAGCGAGCTGGAGGCGCGGGAGAAGGCGAGGCAGATCGCGTCCAGCCCGGCGCCCTCAGCCTGCTCTCTCAGCTCGCTCGACTCGGACGCGTCGGTCAGCCTCTCGAGCGTCCTCGCCTCCGCGAGCGACGCCCTCTGGGAATCCGGTGCAACCCCAGGCGCCGCTGCTGATGCAAAGGGTGGAGCTTCGCAAAGGGTGGAGGACGCCCCCCCCGACGGCAAAGCACCGGAGCCCGTGTGGCTGCGACTCGCGGGGGACACTTTGCAGCCTTTGCAGTCAACCCCGCCCCCATCCCCTCTGCCGACGCCTCGGCACGTCAGAGCGCAAGACTGGAGCTTGTCTGCGTAGATGCACTACTTCGAGATAGTATAATAGAGCAAAGGGTGCGCGAGAGCCGGGTCGCCGAGGCGCTCAGAGCGCGCGGGGACAGCGGACACCCTCAAGCTCGCAGCACGCAGGGCATTGATTGGGGTAGCCATGCCTCCAGAGGCTCCAACGTGCAGCGCCGCCGGGGCTGTGGCGGAGGCGGTCGGTGTCGGCGGAGCACGCCAGCCACCTTCGTTCGTAGTACGTAGAAAATCGAGGTTTCAGCTTTCTCCTTTCACAGATACCTTGTTACTGTGAATTTACCCCCGGTGCGGCGCGCGGAGCTAGTCTATGAGGAAGGTCTTTCAGCTTATGTGCAACAAGAACAAGAACAACTGAAAACGGTTACCAAAACGCTGAAATTCGCCGCCGAAATTCAAAGTCTCGTGCGAGGGAGCTTCTTAAGGAGAAAATCCCCCCGTCCGTTCTAACTCCCATGTCACGGCCGGTCGTCGGCTGCTGCTCTCGCCTCGCTGGCGGCGCGGTCTAGTGCCGCGGCTCCCGGCTCTCCGGTGGGCTCGCGGCGGCTCGCCGCCGTGGATCTGAACAATATGACCGGTCCGGGTTCGTCCCGGCGTGCCGCCAGTGCCGCTTCTTCGCCGAAATTTTCCTCACCATGTTTGTCGACAAAGTTGCCCCCGAGCTCCTGCTGCTCGACTGCGCGGCGGAACCGGCCCCTCGAGGCTGAGGTGTGATGCGCCGGCACCGGGGCTACAGCGCGGGACCATTTCCAGGCTCTCTCGAGCAACCTCAAAATTGGCCAATTTTGTGATCTCAACCCTGCTGCTCTCTGACCACAACCTCGCGGCCCGCTGCGCGGCTCTCCAAGCGCGAGAGGAGTCGTCTACGAGGCGGCGGCGAGCGCAGGCGGCGGCGGCGCGGCGGCGCGGCGGCGGATCGCGGCGCAGACAACGGCAGCAATCTGCGGCAGGTTGCAGCTTGCTGCTGCAGCAGCTGCTGCTGCGGCTGCTCCGCTGCTGCGGATTGTGGATACGACTTCTCCGATCACCCCGCCCGCCCGCCCCGCCCCGCCCGCCCGCCTCTCCCAGCTTGCCCGCCCGACCGACCGACCGACCGACCACCCATTCCCATCACCATCTCACGTACCTTCTTATAGGCGCTCGATTGCTCCACTCGCTGCCTACTCGCTGCCGCGAGGGAGGGGGGGAAGACGTCGTGCGGGCGCCACTGCGCTAGCCGGCCTGAGGCCCCTCCCCGAAAGGCAAGTATTAGACCCACCTCGAGATGCAAGTGCGCAACCCGTCCGCCCTCATTTTTGATGACACCTACGTCGCGGACGCGCCGAGGCCCGCGCTCGAGGCGATGCTCGAAGGCGACGACCTCGCTCGGAGGTGGAGCGGGGTGGAGAGCAACGTCAGCAAACGTCAGATCTGGGCTCCCGACATTCTAGCCGGTGCTGCGAAAAAAGAATTTTCGCAGATTCCCTCGCACTGTGTGCGAAAAAATAATTAGCCCGAAGCTGAAACATGAATTGTGGGAGACTGGGTAAACTGGTTTGACGGAAATTGCGCTAAGCAGGAAAACATCGCCGGGTAGTCGCGAGGCGAATCTCAAAAAGCGGGTAATCTGAATCCTTAAACATCAAATTTTGATTTTTTCCGGCGGGGTCCGGGCTTCTGTTTCTTTCCCTTTTTGGGAGCGAGGCGACACGCGCGTGGGTGTTCTGGGCGGCACGCCTAGAGAGGTGATCCGAACGGCGGCCGACGGACGGACTTTCAGGAGGTGACGTCAGCGCCTTTAGGAGGGTGTATTCCCCTTGCAGCAGTGGCTGTTCTCTTGCTGCCGGCAGATGCAAACCCTTCTCGCTCGGCTCGGCGAGTCATTCAACAGCAGTGGCGCCGCGCTCATCGACCGCAACAAGCAGTACTTCGTCTTGTTCGAGAAGTTCGACGAGAACCGCGACGGACGCTTGTCGATCGACGAGCTCGGGCATATCTTCGACGTCGTCGGGCTCGAACACGGCGCTCGGCAGTTGGAGGAGGCCATGGCGGCGGCTGACGTGGACGGCTCGCATTTCCTGGAGCTCGACGAGTTCATCCAGGTCATGGAGGCCGCCGAGAGCCGCCGTGGCGGCGCGGAGGCGAGGGTGTGGCGGGAGCTGGCCAAGAAGAGGCACTCCATGCTGGCCTGGGCCTCGCTCCCCGCGGCTTGCATGGTGATCACAGTGGCCATCACCGTCTTCAATTTGCGCTACGATTACGACCCGGTCATGGGCATCCAGGTTGTCAACGGGCTGTACGACGCACTTTGGGATTTCTTGCCTACATGGTTCGCTTGGGAGCGTGGACCTTGCCCCGAAACCATGCCGCAGTGCTCGCTTGTCGGCCACGCAGGAACGAACAGCTCACATTGGCCCGGTGCGTCCTACATCGCCAGTAATTACATCAAACGCACGGTGGTGCTGAAGGTGCATGTCTTCGCCATGTGCTTCTCGTTCCTCCTCTTCCCTTTTCAGCTCTGGAAGGGCTTGCGGGCGTGGTCGGTTGAGAAGGGCAACGGCGTCCATAAGATGACGGGCCGCGTGTCGCTGATCTTGTTGTTTCTAGGGCAATGTACCAGCATGCCGATCGCAGGTGGGCCAGGGTCGCCGATGGCTGACTTCATGGGCAAGCTTGCTTTCTTCGAGATGATGTGTTGCACGTTGTGGTGCGCGGGGATGGGCTGGTTGCACGCTCGCCAGAAGCGCTTCTTGGAGCACCGGAAATGGATGATACGGACAACAGGTTGCCTCATCGGCGCATTCTTCGGCACCAGGCTGGCGGCCCCATTCATCGCGTTCTTGCCCGTGGAGATCTTGTGGCCATTGGACATGGCGTTGGGGGCTCCCATCGGCATCTTGGTGGCAGACGTCTACCTCCGCTCGTGCCAGGCCAAGGAGCAAGCTTACCGGAGGCAGGTCTCGTTGGCGCTCCGCACTTGAAGCACCGCACTACAAGCACGGGGGTCGGGAGTTTCGGATCCCTAGATACTAGTGCCCCCCACATCGCCGCGCGAATAATCGCGCTGTACGTGCATGCGACCCCCGTGCGTGCGCGGCGATCCGCGAGAATACGACCCGCGGATGTGTGTCCCTCTGGGGCTCTGCGACACTCCCGGACCGCTGGAGGTGCGACTCTCTTGTACGTTTTGAGTCTTCGCTCTGTCTCCCGCGGTGTGCGGTGATCGAGATCGTGGGGGTGCCCCTGTACAGAGTAGCCGTGGATCTTGGTTGCGTATAACTAGTGCAGTCGTGAGCGGCAGTTCCAGTTCACAGTTGTGTTTATACTTTGTTGTTACGTTAAATTCTCGCTCTCGTTCCACGCAAGGAGGCGGAGTAAGCCCTCGGCAATGTTAAATGAGACAGCTCTCCGGTCCGCCGAGAGTGGGGGGAGATCGGCATACTCAACTCTCAAGCCCGCGTGCAGCAACAGTGGTCAAGGGCCTGACCGGTCTCCCCGCAGTCGGCCGCTGTTTTCACGGGGACGTCGCGGTGGATCTCTCACAGTGCCCTGGAAGGGAGCAGCCCGCGGGGTCGAGGGAACCACTCGAACGCCTTGCAGCTGGCATCACGGAGGCACCTTATCCTTTCCGCGCACGCGTTAAACGTGGTGATGCCCCGGAGGGCGGTGAACTGGCCAGTCTCGCACGTCGTGGTCCGGCACCCGCCTTTGTTGCCAAAGCCGAGGAAATGCCCGGGCGGGAAGCCAGCCCACCGGGGATGCCCGGATAGCACTCCTCGGAGGCTGGATAAGTTGGAGGTTCGCGGATCGGCGGCAGCGGGGCGCGGTCGGCGGCGGCGGCGGCGATGGCGGCGGCGGCAAGTCTGGCGGGGCGGAAGGCGGCTCGGCTGGAAGGTCGCCGGGACCGTAGTCTGGCGGAGCGGAAGGTAGCGAGCTCGGCGGTTCGGCTGGAAAGTCGGGGATCGGCGGCGGCGACGGCGAGGCCGACGGCGGCGGCGGCGACGGCGAGGCCGACGGCGGCAGCGGGGACGGCGAGGCCGACGGCGGCGGCGAGGATGGCGACGCGAAGGGCGGCGGCGGCGAGGGCGAGGCGGAGGGAGGCGGTAGATCGGGCGGCGGCGGCGGTGGTGGCGGCGAGGGCGAGGCCGACGGCGGCGGCGGCGAGGGCGGCGGCGGCAAAGGAGGCGGCGGGGTCGTCGGCGACGGCGAAGGAGGCGGCGGCGAAGGAGGCGGCGGCGGCGACGGCGATGCCGAGGGAGGCGGGGGCGACGGCGAGGCGGACGGCGGCGGGGGAGCAGGTGGCGGCGGCGTGGGCGGCGGCGGCGACGGCGAGCCGGATGGCGGCGGCGGCGTGGGCGGCGGCGCCGCCGGCGGCGGGGTTGCAGGCGGCGGCGGCGTGGGCGGCGGCGGCGACGGCGACACGGAGGGAGGCGGCGGCGACGGCGAGGCGGAGGGAGGCGGCGCCGCTGGCGGCGAAAAGCCGCACGCCGCCCCGCCCTGGCCTGCAGCTGGCAGGAGGATAGCGCGAGAGCGCGGCCGCGGCCGGCAAGGCGGCGGCGCTCGACGGCGCCGTCCGGTGGCGGCGGCAGGGCGGTGAGAGAATGCGATGCTGGGGAGTCGCGGATAGGAGTAGGCGAGGTGATGCCGCCGACGCTCGTTCGCCTTACGCCTTAGGGCAAGAGAGTGCGATGCTTGGGAGTACATGGAGTTAGGCGGAGAGATGCCATTGACGCTCGTTCGCCTTACGCGAGCGCCGGCAGCCGAAAATCCTGCCCGAGCTCGAGCATCGCCTTGATGACCTTCTCATCAAGGTTTGCACGCCGCAGCTCGGCGACGAAGTCCGCGTGCTGCTTGAGGAAGCCGTCGACGATATCCGCTGCCGTCTCCTCCCCTTGCTCCTCGAGGCGGCGGGCGGGCGAGCACGCGATCTCTACCTAACCTGCGCCGCGCTCATCGGCGAACCTCGACAGCGCCCGGTGGCATGCAGCTCTTTGCGACAGAAGCCTGGAGAGTGCGGCTGCCACAGCTGTCACAGCGATGGGCTCGCCCTCACTGGCCCTCAGTCACTTGTGCTGCGGCTTGTGTGAGCGACACACTGCTCGGCGACTGCCGGCACAGTGTGAGACCATGGGTGTGAGGTAAAACCACGGTACCAGCGCTTGGTTACATCAGCCCTGAGGTCAGATCCTTCTACTCTGTTGATGACAAGACTTGTCTACTCGCTGGAGCCGAGCAGGAGGGCCCGGCGCACAACCCCCGGTCAACTCACCCTCCATACCCCGTATACTGACGGGGGCGGCTCGAGCCTCGAGGCACCCTGCGTGGTGGTGCCGCCGTAATCGGCTGCGCCACACGTGTTCACTCACGACCCGAGGCAGGACGGGTCCTGCCCTCGATACACATATACCGTACCACACAGTACCTCTCGTACCACAATACACAGTCACATAGCATAGGCGCGGCGAAGGGTGAGGCTGAGGGCGATTGACAGCTGATGCCGGACGATTACGTGCGCACACACACCCTCATCTAGACCCTCAGCCGCGGCCATCGGCGGCTTTCACGTGGTCGTAATTCGATGGCTCGTCCGCCTCATCCGCACTATCGTCCTCACACTCGCCCTCGACGATCGCGGCGGTGCGCAAGAGCTGGTTCGAGGCCACCACGGCCTTGATCACATCCGCGAGGCGGTGGTGGCGGGCATTGATCGTCGCGTACACGGAAGAGATGGGGAAGCTGTAGACGTGCGGCCGGATGCGCTGGTGCGGCTGCGCGTGCTCGAGCAGCCCCTCGGGATCCTGCAGCTCCACGTCAAAGCCTCGGATTATCGTGTTGATGACGGTGTACAGCAACCACGTGGCGTAATTCGAGCCCAGGCAGCGGTGGCTGCCACGATGCGGGGACAGGAACAGGGCGGTCGTCAGCGGGGGCGAGAGAGAGAGAGCACAGGGCGGAGGCAACACACAATAGCTATGCGTTCGGTGGGGCCAGGCACTCTCACCTGCCGAAGCCAAACGGGAAGTAGTGCGAGTCGCTCTCCCTGATCGCGGACGAGATGAAGGATTCCTCTCGCCGGAGAGAGGTCTCCGCACGCAGATTGTTGGCGTGCGAGGTCCAGCGCCCCATGCCCCCCCGCCCGAACTGCCCCTCATGGATCGCAGACTCGTGATCTTCCGCCTCTCTGCGCCCCGTCGACCCTGGCCCGAACCCCTGCCCGATTGACTGCTCCTCGATCGCAGATCCGCAATCGGACGCGTCGCTGCGCAACGACCCCCGCGACGACGCGTCGCTGCTAGACGACCGTCGTGACGGTGCAGTGTGCATCTTTGCGGCCGCCTTGAGCGTGCTGTACGTAGCGTGATCGACGTGCGCCGACGCCTTCTTGCGCTTGAAGCGGAGCGGGTCGTACGTCGTCGGGTGGGCCCACAGCTCCGGCGAGTTCTGCAGCAGGATCGGCGAGATGATGACGGTGTCGCCGACGTCGAACGCGACGTGCGACCGACCGAAGCCCTTGCCGAAGCGCAGCGTGGTCGGCTTCACCACTTCGCGCGCCAGCATCACGGGCACCGGCGCGTACATGCGCAGCGTCTCGGTGATGCAGCATTCGAGCATCCGTTCGTTCATCTTGACGTCGCGCGTGCGTTCGAGGAGCCCAGGGTCACGGTAGAGGTGCAGCGTGGTCCAGAACACGCCCGCCGACGGCGCCAGTGCGATCATGAACATCAGTGTGTTGTGCAGCCGCTCGATGGCGGAGATTTTGCCGGCCGCGTGTGCCCTCGCCAGGATGGCCTCGATGCCGCCCAGCTGGCTCTGCGGCAGCTGCAGCCGCTCGGTCAGAAAGTTCAGGAAGGGCGCGCATGCCGTGCTCGCGTACGAAGGCTCCTGGCCACTACCGACAATCTGATGGAGTGCGTCGTCGAGAATGTCCGAGGCGAGCCGCGGCTTCTCTTCTTCGTCTTCGCCGCCGCCTCCTGGCGGGATGTCCTTAGGTCGTGGTGCGTGCTCGTGGCCGAGGCCGATCTTGGCGCCTCCCGTGGGCACGTGGACGTCGAGGAGGACGAGCAGATGGGTCTCCACCACGAGGCGGTTGCACAGGTGGAACCAATCGACGGGTCTCCCCGTGCGCTTCTGCTCCTGCATCTGCTCAAAGATGGCCTCGTACACGTGCCGCGTGACAGCCGCGGTCTTGCTCACGAACTGATACTCTTCGAAGAAGGGTGTGCACAGCGGGCGGATGCGACTCCACACGTCGCTGAGGCCGCCGCTGCCGAGGATCGTGTGCGGCGACGTGATCGCGTCCCTCGCGGCCTCGCTTCGGCGGAAGTTCCTCGCCTTGGTGAGCACCTGATGGGTAGCGGCGTGCGACGTGAGGAAGCAGACACGCGGGCCAAAGATCAGGTACCTGCGCACGCTCCACGTGTGGCACTTGATGTGCATGGCCTCTGCGCCCATTTGCAGCGTCGCACCGGGGTCCCGGCGGAGGGCGCCCAGCGCGGTTGACACGCTGACGGGGAACAGGATCAACCGGACCGCAACGTACAAGAAGACAGCGCACTCGAAGGGCAAGAATATCGCAATGATGACATAATGTGAGCTGATGCCAGAGCGCTCCCAACAGCCGAAGGCCACCAAGTGGACAGGGAGAACCAGGGCCATGAGAATAAGTGCGTCGCTCCCCAGCTTGCGCAGGCCTCGAATATACCCGAGCCGCTCACTTCGTGGAGCGCAGAGCGTCGCGGCTGCAACGACGATGATGGTGGCCAGTGCTGTCGCCGCGAACATGTCTCCAACGGACATCTGTACCAACCAGTCAACAGCTGGCGACGGCGGGATCGATGGGCTGCTCCACTGGTCGGCGGCAATTGCAGCCGCGCCGGGCATGAGCAGCGTCAGGAACGCGCTAACGGTCATGGGGACCGAGAGCGGACGTGGGGCGAAATTCACGGGACGGAGGGTGGGCGGCCAGAGAAGGAGCAGCAGGGCGAGCACAAGGAGCAGCATGGGGGTGACCGCGTCGGATGTGCCCGAGGCGAGCGCGCAGCGGAGCGAGCCCTGCACGAGCGCCATGAGACTGGTGATCTTGTCGAGGATGGATTTGCGGCGCACGTTGTCGCCGTGGCTAGTCTGAGGCAGGAGCTGCGTGAAGTTGGTGCGCGGCGACGCGCTCGACCACGAGATCTCATCGCGGCAGACGACTGCGTCAGAGCACCGCGTCTCTGCCATGCTTTCCGCCGGAGCTGCCCCCGATGTCCGGGCCCGTGAGAAGCCGGCGTACCGGGCGACGCCCTCGCCCGTCGCCGAGTTGAGCGAGGATGCGTTGCAGCCGGTCGTGCACTCGTTGCACTCTTCGGTCGCGTCCTCACACTCGCCGATCGCGTGCGCCGACGCGGCGGCCCCGACCCGAGCCATGTCGCCGGCAATATTCGGTGAGGTGAGGGCTGCGCAGAAGCGCTCGCGGGGACAACCGACGCCAACGATGAGATGCGAGTTGCGTAGGAGTGTCTCGCGGGGAGCGCCGTCCTGCATGTTGTTCTGGTCGGAGAGGCCTGGAAGCAGAGGCAATGGTGAATGCTTGTTGGTGCGCAGAGATCTCTCTGGGCGGTGCACCAGGGTGGAACCCTCCGTTGAACGACTGGTGAATGAGCGAGTTGGTCGGCGCAAAGATGAGGTCGGACATCAGGATCGGGTCACTCCCACAATAAACGAGCCAGCGGCACATGGCAGGTGAAGACCCCGGCCGGGATGGCAGGCTGCAAGCGGAATGGACGAGAATGGACGGCAAGCGGGTTTCCTTGTTTTCCTATATTTGAATGAAACCGAAATCCGTAGTGTTGCTGCACTAGGCATCCCGTTTGCAGTGTCGGCACTTGTGGGAGAAAAGGGAGAGTGAGGCGCGCTTTCTAGGGCCCCCGGGGGCCCTACCACTCGTCAGCGCAGTCGGAGACGGAGAAAGAAGCCGTCCGTCACGTGTCGCCGTTGAACGAATCTCTCTCTCAGTGTGTACGAGCTTGTACGTACTTTTAGCTGTGTGTATCGCGCGCTAGCTTTAATGGGAGAATTTTAATCGGAGCCCTTCTGCCTCCGTGGCCACCGTCGGAGCGGGGTGCGCGGCCGAGGAACCCCCCGAGGTGGCGGCGCAACCCTCATCGTCGTCGCTCGGAGCCTCCGCTCCCGCCTCGGACTCCGACTCCTGCTCCACACCTCAACCTCCACCTCGTCGTCGCCACGCAGCGCCCCCTCCACCGCAGCCTCCACCTCGTCCTCCGCCTCATTGGCAACGGGCGCGTCGGTGCGCGGTCACCAGCGGCGAGTCGTCGGCGAGTCCGCCGCTGTCAGCTTTTTCTTTTGAGAGCGCTTTCGTTTAAATTCAAACAACCCAATGGTCCCTTTCGAGCGGTCCCTTGTCGCATTCTCACGCACGCGCACGCCGTCGGGGGATAAAGGGGAACATTTTTGTTCGTTCAAAAAGAGCGCCTTCAGCACTACTCTATCGAGGTCTCGGCGAAGCGCATCGCAGTTGTCAGAGAGAGAGAGAGAGAGAGAGAGAGAGAGAGAGAGAGAGAGAGAGAGAGAGAGAGAGAGAGAGAGAGAGAGACGCACGACAATGTTGGAGTAGTTAGCGTATCAAGACGAACACATGCATCGGGAGTGAAACGCCTCGTCGGAGACCGTCGTGCAGCGCGGCGCGAGGCGCTAGTCGAGGCTGACGACGTCTGTGAAGAGGACGCGCGCAAAACCAGGGCGGTGGGAGGGGGCGGTGGCGCCGGTGGCGCGGCACAAGGCCCGGTGGTGCGGCAGGAGGGGCAACGGTCAACGGACCTAGGTTGGACTTCGGGTCTTCGCGCGCGCGCGCCTCCGCCTCCGCCTCCGGCCCCGGCCTGAGTGAATCATTCGAGACGCGTCAGCGCCGTGTCGTGTGGGGCGGCGCCGCGCGGGCGCTGGGGCAACGGCACGGGCGGTGCGCCTGGCTCCCTGCTCGTCGACGAAGGACCTTAGCGCTTCCCAACTGCTCCTTCGCTTCGGGCTCTGTGCCGGCACCGCTGGCGAGGTCGTGACGGTGGGGTTACGTGCAGCCTTGGTAGAGACGGCCTTGGAGAAGGCAGCCTGCGATCGAGAAGAGGGGGAGATCGAGCGAGATCGGCCGATTCTCTGACCCGTTGGCAAGGCGTTGCCTGGTCTAGACGCATCGCCTTGAGCCGCGAGCACTCCTCAGCCTCGGATTCGTCGTCCGCGCTAGGCGTTCCCGCCGTGAATGAGATCATCGAGTTCTCCTGGCGGCGACGTCGCGCGAGGGGCTGGTCCTAGGTTCCGCGACCCGCCGCCCGAATGCTATTTGCCCCTCCCTCCCGTTCCAGAGAAGCGCTCTATCCGACAGCATCTACTCTCCTCCTTCATCAAGAACCACTCGCTTGTATTGGTGGTGAGTGGCTCAGACGCACAGATGAAGGCGCCGCCCTCTACAGTCTGCTCGAGCTTGCGGCACTTTGGGCAGGTGCAGCCAAAAGTTGAGCCGTGCCCTGGGTTCTGTGGCGCCTCGCCGCCCTCGGCACACAAGCGGTTCAGCCTACTCACAGAAGACGCATGCGGCGCCGAGACGCCAATCGGCTATAAGAAGACGACAGCGAACCCGGTGGCGCCGTGCCCCGGAGTGAGCTGCCCGTGCGGGACCTGCTTAGACGGGCCTGATTTCGAAAGGTGTGTTCCTGAGCATCATCTCGGCTGGAGGTCAAGGCCTGGCTCAGTTGCAGCTGAAGCTGGTGCGATGACGCAAACGCGTAGTAGAGAGAGGGTGGCGGGATGTCGGGAGCCTTGTCGCAGTAGCGCGCCACCACCACCTGCTCACCGCAAGAGGTGTACGAGGAATATGCGCGCACAGTGCAGCTGGCAGTCTGCCGCCGCCGCACTGAACTGCCGTCCGTCAGGGCAAAGTTGAACTGCCGTTCGAGGCCGATGCTGTGACGACATGCCATTCATGGCCCGCTCCGCTTAGAACTGTCGAAGCGCCCTCCACCACGCCCGCATCCGCGAGGAAGCCCCGGAGTGTTGCGATGGCGCTGAGCATCGCCTTGCGCAGCACGGCCACTGGCACGCACTCGCCACCGGCAAGCAGCTCTGGCTCGATGAGGGAGAGGATGAGGGCAAAGCACGCCTCCGAGTCGGTAGTGCCCTGCACCCAGTGGTACACCTGCAGCGGTCATGCGAGGTGAACCGAGAGGCGCCAGAAGCCGAGTCGCTTGCAGCAGGTGGCGGACGTCATCGCGCATCGCAGCGAACACTCGCCGCTTGATGCGGTCAAAGCCCTCGACGTGTCCGTTGTGCTGGAAGAGCAGACGGCCTGTGACAACAGCAACGGTGAAGAGACGCGGTTCACGGCTGCGTCGGCACGGCACCTCCAGGCCTGAACGCCGTAGCGGAATGGGTGGCAGTTCACCTCGGAGATAACAGAGCCCGATGCGGCGCGCACGTGCGCAAAGATGCAGCGTGACTCGATGGACTCGGAGAGCTCCCGCAGGTTGCTGTTGTTCCACGCGGCCGTCACCGACCGGAAGATTGCGCCGCCCCGCTTGTGGTACCAGCCAACCCCAAAACCGTCCGCATTCAGCTGTTGGCGGTGGGAGTGGGGACGGGGTGCGTTGGCGGCGGCGGCAAAGGAGGCGGCGGGGTCGTCGGCGACGGCGAAGGAGGCGGCGGCGAAGGAGGCGGCGGCGGCGACGGCGATGCCGAGGGAGGCGGGGGCGACGGCGAGGCGGACGGCGGCGGGGGAGCAGGTGGCGGCGGCGTGGGCGGCGGCGGCGACGGCGAGCCGGATGGCGGCGGCGGCGTGGGCGGCGGCGCCGCCGGCGGCGGGGTTGCAGGCGGCGGCGGCGTGGGCGGCGGCGGCGACGGCGACACGGAGGGAGGCGGCGGCGACGGCGAGGCGGAGGGAGGCGGCGCCGCTGGCGGCGAAAAGCCGCACGCCGCCGCCCTGGCCTGCAGCTGGCAGGAGGATAGCGCGAGAGCGCGGCCGCGGCCGGCAAGGCGGCGGCGCTCGACGGCGCCGTCCGGTGGCGGCGGCAGGGCGGTGAGAGAATGCGATGCTGGGGAGTCGCGGATAGGAGTAGGCGAGGTGATGCCGCCGACGCTCGTTCGCCTTACGCCTTAGGGCAAGAGAGTGCGATGCTTGGGAGTACATGGAGTTAGGCGGAGAGATGCCATTGACGCTCGTTCGCCTTACGCGAGCGCCGGCAGCCGAAAATCCTGCCCGAGCTCGAGCATCGCCTTGATGACCTTCTCATCAAGGTTTGCACGCCGCAGCTCGGCGACGAAGTCCGCGTGCTGCTTGAGGAAGCCGTCGACGATATCCGCTGCCGTCTCCTCCCCTTGCTCCTCGAGGCGGCGGGCGGGCGAGCGTCAGGAACGCGCTAACGGTCATGGGGACCGAGAGCGGACGTGGGGCGAAATTCACGGGACGGAGGGTGGGCGGCCAGAGAAGGAGCAGCAGGGCGAGCACAAGGAGCAGCATGGGGGTGACCGCGTCGGATGTGCCCGAGGCGAGCGCGCAGCGGAGCGAGCCCTGCACGAGCGCCATGAGACTGGTGATCTTGTCGAGGATGGATTTGCGGCGCACGTTGTCGCCGTGGCTAGTCTGAGGCAGGAGCTGCGTGAAGTTGGTGCGCGGCGACGCGCTCGACCACGAGATCTCATCGCGGCAGACGACTGCGTCAGAGCACCGCGTCTCTGCCATGCTTTCCGCCGGAGCTGCCCCCGATGTCCGGGCCCGCGAGAAGCCGGCGTACCGGGCGACGCCCTCGCCCGTCGCCGAGTTGAGCGAGGATGCGTTGCAGCCGGTCGTGCACTCGTTGCACTCTTCGGTCGCGTCCTCACACTCGCCGATCGCGTGCGCCGACGCGGCGGCCCCGACCCGAGCCATGTCGCCGGCAATATTCGGTGAGGTGAGGGCTGCGCAGAAGCGCTCGCGGGGACAACCGACGCCAACGATGAGATGCGAGTTGCGTAGGAGTGTCTCGCGGGGAGCGCCGTCCTGCATGTTGTTCTGGTCGGAGAGGCCTGGAAGCAGAGGCAATGGTGAATGCTTGTTGGTGCGCAGAGATCTCTCTGGGCGGTGCACCAGGGTGGAACCCTCCGTTGAACGACTGGTGAATGAGCGAGTTGGTCGGCGCAAAGATGAGGTCGGACATCAGGATCGGGTCACTCCCACAATAAACGAGCCAGCGGCACATGGCAGGTGAAGACCCCGGCCGGGATGGCAGGCTGCAAGCGGAATGGACGAGAATGGACGGCAAGCGGGTTTCCTTGTTTTCCTATATTTGAATGAAACCGAAATCCGTAGTGTTGCTGCACTAGGCATCCCGTTTGCAGTGTCGGCACTTGTGGGAGAAAAGGGAGAGTGAGGCGCGCTTTCTAGGGCCCCCGGGGGCCCTACCACTCGTCAGCGCAGTCGGAGACGGAGAAAGAAGCCGTCACGTGTCGCCGTTGAACGAATCTCTCTCTCAGTGTGTACGAGCTTGTACTTTTAGCTGTGTGTATCGCGCGCTAGCTTAATGGGAGAATTTTAATCGGTGCCCCTCTGCCTCCGTGGCCACCGTCGGAGCGGGGTGCGCGGCCGAGGAACCCCCCGAGGTGGCGGCGCAACCCTCATCGTCGTCGCTCGGAGCCTCCGCTCCCGCCTCGGACTCCGACTCCTGCTCCACCTCAACCTCCACCTCGTCGTCGCCACGCAGCGCCCCCTCCACCGCAGCCTCCACCTCGTCCTCCGCCTCCGTCGCCACCGCCATCGTCGAGTAGGGGTTGGCATTCAGCCAGGAGAATTCTCAACCAAAGAGAAATCACGCTTTTGTTCTCTTCAGTCAGTCAGCCGGGAGGGGAGGGAGGGCTAGAGGGAGGGGGAAGGAAGGAGGGAGGGCCGGAAGGATAGGAACGGGAAGGGAAGGAAGGCTAGCTAGCTAGCTAGCTTGACCGCTTGCTTGGTTGGTTGGTTGGACATTGCTCGGAGCTCTCCCGACGCTCTCCTCCTCCTACCTAGCCGTCTAGCGGGTTTCCCCAAATTCGCGAAAAAAGGAACCGGGGCGCCTCCGGACGGCTCCGTGCCGATGCCGAAGGGGCCCGCTAAGTTTCAAAGCTAATGTTACTACTAATGTTACCTAATGTTCATGTCGAACTCTTCGCGGCTCACAGAAGCTCCCTCATGCCGCAACCGCCAAAGCCACTGTGCCCGTCGCCTACGGCTGATCGGCCCAGCACGTCGCTTGTGGCCGGCTGCACATCCGCTGCTGGGTACCCAAACGTGCTGAGCTGCGAAAGGCCGGGCGGGGGAGCGCTGGCCCGAGTCCTCGTGAGCGTGATTGACAGTGGGCGGCGGTCGGACAACCTGAGGCTCCTCGAGCAGTCGCTGGGCGTGCCGTTGCTGCGTTTCCCCGCCTCAAAGCTCAGATGGGGTGAGGCGCGCCGCAGGTGCGACGCGATCAAACGGCCCAGCGACTACCTGGTCAACCTGGCGCATGCCCACTTGCTCAAGCACGCGCGGCACTGCTTTTTCGAGCGGGGCATTGCCACCGCCGTCCTTGCCTTCGAGGACGACGCACGCTTCGCCGTCGCCAACGGAGGTGCCGCGCTCGGGGCGGCGCTCAACGAGGTTTGAGGCCCGATGGCAGCGCCCGAGACTGACAAGCAGAGCAAACTCAGCCCGTTACCCCGCAGGCCCCCGACACGGCAGACTTTGTGCACCTTGGATGGTGCTCCGCGCCCAAGCACCCCGAGTGCCTCCATGCCTACGTCCTCACGCGCTCCGCCGTGGACATCGCTCTTAACCGGACGGCGGCGTGCGGCCGACGGCCAATGGACCAGCAACTCTCGGCGCTCGCCCTCGGCGGCGTGCTCTCCCGTCACTTTCCGCGCAAGGAACTCTACCGCGCAGCTCCGACGCACTGGACTCGTGGCCTCTTCCACCAGGCGTCGGAAACCTACAAGACGCTGCAGAGCTGTGACCCGTCCCCGGCGAGAGCGCTCAGGATGGGGGTGCCGCCGTGCCGCGCGCCCCAGAAGAACTGGACCATCCTGGAGAACTAGACAGACTCTGGAGGCGGCCGTCCCATCTAGAGGGGGGGCCGGTGACAAAGAAAAATTCAGAAAAAAGAATTTATCCAAAAAAGAATTTCCGCGCGCGATAGAGAAGGCGACCCAAGACACCTCGGGGGGCGAGCGAAACTGCATACCCCCGGGCCACAGTGGCAGAGCGGGGGTATAGGCCCATTTCGCCGCCCCGCGTCGCTGGCCTTCGCCCCTTCGGTACGCGTCCAGCCGTAGAGGTCCCGCAGCATATGCTCTGAGCGCATCGCGTCGCGAAACCGCGTCGCGGAGCATCGGCTCGCTCAAAGTCGCCCGCCAGCCGCCCCGAGAGCGGGACCAAATACACACGCCTGCTGCGCTTCCCAGCCACCCACGAGAGCCCGGCGCAGCCGCACCGACCCCCACGGCCCGCCGCACGCGCGCAGGCGCGGCTCGCCGCTCCTTTCTCGAGGCTGGCACCGCCGTCGAGCACCGCGCTGCCACCGACAGCGCACCCGCGCGGCCGAGGCGCCCCTCGCCGGCGCGTGCGGCGAGACGGCGAGCGTGTCGGCGCGCCTTCCGGCCGCCGCACGGCGGACGGGCCGCCCGTCGAGCCGCGCGGCGCCGAGCGAGCCCAGCGGACGCCCTCACCGCTCCGTCGGCGGGTCGTCAGTCTCTCTCCTCTCCTCCGCACGCCGCCGCCCGGCCGGCCGCGCGCGGCGAGGCGGCGCCGTGCGCCACGCGCGGATGGTGCTCCGAGCGTGCGCTCTCTTCGGATCCGTCTTTGTGCGTCGTATTGTCTCGAGCGTACATTGGTGTTGCCCAGCACGCGTCTCACGAGCTGGGTCTACAGACCTTCGCCAGTGTCGCTGAACACGTCGGGTGGCGTGGCGCGAGAGCGGCGTGGATCGTCTTTCACGCTTTTCCCGTCCTTCTCGCGTCGCGCTTGTGAGACGACCCAGACACCCCGAGTCACCGCAGACACGAGAGACAAACTTGTGACACACGCTGACGGCCACGTGCGCGGTACACACACACATATCTCACACAAAAAAGCGCGAGAGTAACCGATCGCTGCCTCTCACCGAGTTCCGCTCGCATAACACTGTATCGCGGTGTCCAGTCCCATCGGCGCACATCAAAGGCTCCGACGGGAATGCACTCCCTGTGATCGTCCGCAGCGGCGGGCGCCAAAGCCCAGGCCGCTCGCGGCATCTATGCCTACTCTCCCTCTCCCTATCGCGCTATCTCTGGTCTCCTCGTGCCTAATTGTGCCTGCTGCCCCTTCACGGCTCAGCCGGCGGGACCCGAACGTCGATGCGAGTGGCCTGCACAGAAGGGCGGCGAGGGTCACAGGTGGGGCGAGGAGCCGTGCGTGGTAGGATATTCCGCGGGGCGGGAGCGCACCAGCCGGTTCGCGATGGCGTAGGCCGTAAACTTCGCCCACCACGCCTTGACGCTGCTGACCGAGCGGTAGATGCCGAACTGGTGCGACTCAGCGATCAGCGACCAGTCCATGCGCGGCATCGGCTTGTTCCAGCGCCGCACGATCTTGCCGTCGCGCTTGCGGATGCGCGGAACGACGCGGCGCTCGCGCGCCCACTGCTCCAGCTTCCGACGCCGGGCAAAGAAGCACAGCATGAGACGGCGCCGCTGCTCCTCTGAGATGGGCTTGTGCACGCGCTGCCGGGAAGGGCCGACTTGCGCAGCAGCCGCCGCGTCCCGCCTCACGGCGATCTCCGGCCGGGCCAGCGTCGGAGCGGTGGACCTGGCGCGGGATTTCTGCGCGAGCGTGGTTCGCACGGTCTGGACGGGTGGCGTGGACCGCTCGGGCGGCATCAGCCCTGCCAGCTGAAGCAGCTGGAGTCGACTGGAGAGGCTAAGAAAAAAGAAAAAATCCCGAGATTTCACTGCGTAATAAACACCACACGTTTGCCAACAATATGCTACGACACGCGTGAGAGAAGAATTCTTTGAGGCGTCCGCCGTGCAGGCACGTCGTCGAGCGAGGTGCTTCCCCCAGCGTCCCAACCCCCCACCCGTCCGTACGTTGCACACAATGCGGTGTGAGTATTCCCAAAACCCATTGCAGTGCAGCGGCTCAGCCCCCACGCGCGCGCGCTGCGCGCCACATCGTTTGCAGTCCATCTGACGCGCCCTCTGCCACGGCGCAGGCAGTCGCGCGGTGAAAACCCTCAACAGTGTAAGGCGACTGACGGTGCGTGCCCCACAGCGCCCAGCCCTGCCCCTATCCACCGGTGAGATCACGACGCTGCAGCGTAACCCGGGGATATTAACCCGGCAGTTCCTCAGCCGACGGTCCCGCCGCGCATTCCGTCATTGGCCCTTGGTCAGGGTGCTGACCCTCAGAGTGCTGACCCTCCACCCTCCCCTTCGCCCTTCTTTTGCGCAGGCATACTCTCGATGGCAACTCTGTCTACTTGCCGTGCTTGTCTGGTGCGGCCGCCCGCCTCCTCCCTAGATCCCACCCTGCTGCTATCCACCCGCCGCGCGCCGCCATGCGCGGGGTCCCGCCGCGGGATGCGTTCGCACCTCCCTCCCATGCGGCCCGCCTTGGCACATATTGCTGCGTGCGTGCGGGGACAATTTATTCCTGGCCACTAACGTGCCCCGACTTGCGTCTCTCACTCCAACTGGCCGCCTCCACCAGGTGAGCACCTCTGCCCTGCTGAGAGCGGCATCAGACGGAAGCGGAGATGATGCTGTCCGTGCTGTTGAGCGTCAGCCTTGCCGGTCGGTTGTTCCGAAGCACGCGAACCTTGAGGTGACAGACACACCCTCCACATCTACGAGCCTTCCAACAAGGGCAACGGGCATTCCGCTCTTTTTTTCTCGTATGTTGTACCCATTGCCTGGTGCGGTCAGTCGGCTGAGCGAGTGCTGTCCCACGGCTCCAAACTGCATGCGTGTGAGTGTGTGTTTGTTTGCGGTGCGTCGGCGCCGGGCGCGGCTCTCCGGCTCACTCACTGCCTCTCACTCACTCTCCGGCTCAATAGTTGAAGATACAATACTTGTAAAGCCTCGGTCACGATCGAACGGAAGAGACTAGAGAGTGTGCGGAGAGTGCACGCTGGCGCTGCTGTTCCTTGTCAGCAGGTTCCTTGTCTCCCCTGTCGGCGTCGCTGGCATCGCATAATGGAGGCCTACCTCCACCGGAGTATCTCCTCGGCCGACCTACATACTGTCGATTTTGACGGCATTCCGATCCGATTTGCTCCGGCCGTAATGGTTGACGGGAGCACACCAGCTGCAGCCGTCTGCTGCCGCGACCTGCTCGTTGTCTCTGCCATCGCCGACGACCGTGCCGTCAACAAGAAGGGCGTTGCACATTTCTACCGGAAGGCTTTCAGCGGTGAAAACGCGGCACTGATGCCGCGGCTCATCTCGCTCGACGTGCGGCCACGTGCAAAAGGTTTGCCACCGCTCTACACCTTCGTCGCCGACGTTGACGCCCTCCTCCTTTGCCACTTTGGCGTGCTCGCTGGCGTGCCGCTGCTGCTGCGGCTGCGGCCGCTTCTCGTCTCGACGGCCGCCGCCGCCGCCGCCGCGGACGACGACGAGGAGGAGAGCGGCCTCGAAACTGTGGCTGCGTTCGGCGCACTGGACAACTCGGGGAGGAAGGCGGCTCTTCGCGGCGTGTGCCGCATGCTGACGGCCGACGAGGCCGCGTACGCGCTTAGCCTGCTGACCAGCACAGCCGTGCGCAAGCGCCGATCGGCGGGCGAACTCGCTGAGAGCATAAAGGACGCGTCGCAAGGTGCGCGGGCGCAAAAGTCGGCGGCAACTCAGCTAAACAACCGCGCAGGCTCGGGCTGGGAATGCCTGGCTGCGATCTCGCTCTCGGCGGCGGCAACGAAGGCGCACGAGAAGAAGTCGTCCGACGAGGCGGCGGTGCGGCGCGCAGGCGAGGAGGAGTACACGCGCAAGGAGACGGAGCTGCTCGCTGCGGAGGCGGCGGCGGCGGCGGTGGCAGCGGCGGCGGCGGCGGCGGACTCGGGCAGCGACAGCGACGGCGACAGCGACGACGATGGCGGCAGCCCCGAGCTCTCCCGAGATGGCATCAAGGCGCTCGCAAAGGCGGTGCGGGCGGCAAAGACGCGAAAGCGTGCCGAGCTGCGGGCGGCCACTGTTTTGGAAATGGCGAAGGGCGCCAAGGCCGAGGCGCGGCCCGCCGTCTCTAAAGCCGAAGCCGCCATCGCCGACCAACTTGCTGAGTGTCACGGCGATGGAGATTGGCACCCTCCGCTTCGATGTCTCAGCCTCAAAATTTCAGCTCAGCTGGGCTAAGCGCGTCTTCATTTTCGAAGGGGCTGTAAACGGGGAAGTCCACCGCTTTTCCCTGCCTTTCAACGGCGTCTGCAGCCTCGGCCGCGAGGCCGAGGCACCGCCGCCGGTGGAGGGAGGCGAGGAGGGTGCCACGGCGGCCAGCAACGTCGCAGCCGCGCCTCCTCCGCCAATCGTCTCGCCAGACGGGCAGGACAGCGCTGCGATAGGTGAGGTAATCACGTCGCCGGTTCCCGGGACCCCCGCCCTCGTCGCCGCCGCCGTCACCGTGACGGCTCCCGCCGCCGCTCCCACCTCCGTTACCCTCGCCGCCGCCACGCCACCAGCCGCCTCCAGTGAATGCACTCGACTCGTCCTCGGCCTCTGTTCGCCTGTTGCCATCGAGCGACGTGATGTGGCCGGCAGCAGCCAGGGCGGCGCGCAGAGGTGGGTGTCGGTCGAGCTAGTCTCGGCCGACAACCTGCCTATCCGGGACGCCCGCCAATGGACGCTCGAAATGAGCGCCACCGACCTCTCAGTGGTCTGGCGGGCGCTCGCAGATGGGCCCGGCCGCGCCACTGCGGACTCGCTCTTCGCAAAGTACGCAGCGGCGCCGACGACGGCGGCGCCGACGGAGGACAGTGCGTCCGTGTACAAGTCGAACGAGGCGGCGCGCGGCGGCGCAAGTCAGCGCGCAAGCGAAAGGACGATGCTGCTCTCCACAGATCCGGAGCGCGCCGTCGAGATTGCAGACGAGCTACTGCTAGCCGCCAACGCGGGCAAGTCCATACCCGAGGCCGACGCGATGATGTGCCACGCATGCCGCAAGCACGTCTTTGTCGCTGACGTCGAGCTCCCGGTGAACCGTCCGAACGCACCTCCGGCTCGCAAGTTCCGCCTTCCCGTGACGCGGACGCCCAGCGGCGGGCTCGAGCTGCACGCGATCAAGTGCTGCCCGCCGGCACACGCCGCCGCCGCGCCGCGTGCCGAGCGAGCAGAGCGAGGAGTGGCCCCCGCCGGGACTGGGCGTGCAGATGCTATGCCGGCGCCAGCGCAGCGCCAGCGGACGGAGGGGCCGCCGGCCGCCGCCACGGCAGCACGTGTCGACACCTGCCCGTACTGCAGCCACGACGGGTGGCGGGTGAACGCACAGGCGACCACAACAAACCCACAGCGCCACAGCGCATGGTACCTAAGGCACCTGCGGGACGGGTGCCCCGCCTCGCCACTCCGGCCCCCATGTCAGACCCCAGTCCGCGAGGGTGGGGGCCTCTCTGGGGCCACACGCGCCGCGCGGGCTGCACGGGTTGAGGCCGCAGACTCGGCTGATCGCGACGCGGCGCTGCGCGAGCAGCGAGTGGCAGCGCACGCAAAGCGGTGCACCTGCGTGCTCTGCCACGACCCCGCGATCTGCGCGCTCTTCCCAGAGCACACGTGTCGTGTGTGCACGGGCGAGTGAGTGGCGTGTCTTGTGATGACTTTTTGCGCTCGCCATCGGTCCTTACCAGCGTGTTCACCCTCCACGTGTGTGCGCTGCAGAGCAGCTGAGGCTGTGTCACGAGGCTACCAGACGGAGACAGGGACACATAGAAGTTCATGCTGGCTCTTGTGCCACTGCACTGTCGCCGCGCGACGCGACAGCGCGTGGCGCACGGCGCCGCCTCGCCGCGCGCGGCCGGCCGGGCGGCGGCGTGCGGACGAGAGGAGAGAGGCCGGCCGTCGTGGCGGACGACCCGCCGACGGAGCGGTGAGGGCGTCCGCTGGGCTCGCTCGGCGCCGCGCGGCTCGACGGGCGGCCCGTCCGCCGTGCGGCGGCCGGAAGGCGCGCCGACACGCTCGCCGTCTCGCCGCACGCGCCGGCGAGGGGCGCCTCGGCCGCGCGGGTGCGCTGTCGGTGGCAGCGCGGTGCTCGACGGCGGTGCCAGCCTCGAGAAAGGAGCGGCGAGCCGCGCCCGCGCGCGTGCGGCGGGCCGTGGGGGTCGGTGCGGCTGCGCCGGGGCAGCGAACGGCCTGCTGGAAAGGCCGTGAGAGGCGCTCACCACCGGGCGCTCGACGCCAAAGAAAGCGGCGGCCGCCGAGCCAGATCACGGTCGAGCGCGTCGAACGAACCTGTCCGGAGCGCAGCGGCCGTGACCGTGGCGGTCAGGAGGCATGCACACATACGCGGACCGTCGCGGTACGAGGCAGGCATCGGCGGCGCGACCCTCGACGTGCGAACGTGTACTCTCGCCCCGCGAGGTCTTTTGGGTCGATAGCCTTGCAAGCCTCACACCGGCGCTTCCGCCAACCAGCCTGTCATCGTCTCACTCGAGGTGTCTTATGCTGCCCCGTCAGTCCGTCCTACGCAGCGCTGCCCGGCACTGCTCCACGCGAGGCACGCCGGTGGTTGGCGTATTGGGTGCGGGGCAGATGGGCGGAGGCATCGCGCAGGTAGCCGCGGTGCAGGCCGGCTGCAAGGTTGTGCTGGTGGACGTCAAGCAGGAGCAGCTGGACAAGTGCATGGGCCTGATGGACAAACTGCTGGCGAAGGACGTGGCGAAGGACCGCCTGACGGAGGCGGATAAGGCAGCGGCGCTCGCGCGCATCACAACCTCGACCGACATGTCCGCCTTTGGCGGTGCCAGCTTTTTGATCGAGGCGGCGACGGAGAACGTGGGCCTGAAGCTGGACCTGTTCCGCGCCATGGACAGCGTCGCGCCGTCCGGCGCCATCCTCGCCTCCAACACTTCTTCCATCTCGATCACCAAGATGGCGGCCGCCACGGCGAGGCCCGAGGCGGTGATTGGCATGCACTTTATGAATCCGGTGCCAGTGATGAAGCTGGTGGAGGTGATCCCGGGGCTGGCGACGAGCGAGGCGACGCTCGCCGACACTCTCGCGCTCGCCACTGCGATGGGCAAGACCTGCACGCAGAGCCGCGACATCCCCGGCTTCATCGCGAACCGGATCCTGATGCCGTACATTAACGAGGCCGTGCAGACTCTGTACGAGGGCATCGGCACGGTGGAGGCGATCGACACGTCCATGAAGCTGGGCACCAACGTGCCGATGGGGCCGCTCACGCTCGCCGACTTCATCGGCCTCGACACGTGCCTCGCCATCATGCAGGCGCGACCTCCCCTGCGGACAGACACGCACGTAATTGTCATTTGCCGAGACCGGCCCGAGGGGGTGGGAGGCGGGAGGCTGCAACCGCGGGGCACGGTGTTGTGCCCTAACTCGCTGCTGGTCCGGCCGCTGTCGACTCACCCACGTCTGACCGCGCCCCGGCCGCAGGTGCTGCACTCGGAGCTGGGCGACTCCAAGTACCGCCCCTCGCCGCTGCTCGTGCAGCACGTCAACGCGGGCTGGCTGGGAAAGAAGTCCGGCCGCGGCTTCTACGACTACCGCAAGTAAGTGTGCACTGTGTGAGAGCGTCTGACCCTCGGGCACAGAGGCACCCCAGGTTTTTATTTTTCAATCTTCAAAGTGTACTGTCACTTCTCTCCCCGCCCCGCACCGACGCGGCATGGCGCCGCCGCCGGGCCCGCCAGCAGCTTGTGGCATGTCGTGCCTTGTGCGTTTGGGTGCGATCCCCGTGAATGCACAGGCCGGCCGCAGCTAATTACAGCACACGGCGAACCCGCCGCAGCTCCTCCCGCCCGCCCTCTGCCCTGCGCAAGCGCGCATCCCCCCGCCGTGCCCCCCTCACGCCCAGCCGGCGTCGGTGAAGGCGCCGATGGCCGCGCCGAGCAGCTCCTCCTCGGTGTGCGTGCCTGTCGCGCAACGAGGCCGCGGCGTGAGCGCCGCGGGGTAGGGGAGGGGGGGGGGCGGGCCTGCACGCGTCCGGCGCCGGGCGCGAGAGAAAGCATCTTGTCGAAGGTCGCGCCAAAGTCGGATCGCGGCTCGCTCCGCGTGGTGGCGGCGCCGACGGAGCGGCTCGCGCGCAGCACGTCGCTATCCGCCCTCGCCACCTATTCATTGTTGAGTACTCAGTCTTACTTAGGCAGGGGCAGCACGCCGTCGGGCGGGTCCGCCACACCCACCTCGACAACCTCCTCTGCCGCTTGCTCCTCCAGCACCTTGTCCGGCCGACCCTCCGCGGGCGCGGCGGGCGCGGCGGCGGCGGCGAGCTGCGACAGCGCGCACGAGCTGAAGTCGGCCAAGTCTTGCGAGAGCAGCTGGCGCGCCGTCTCGGACATGTGCGGGGCGTCGATGAGATGCCGCACCTCCTCCATCGCGGCTGGTGGTGGGGGGGGGGGGGTAGGGGGGGGGGGGGGGGGAAGCCCCCCGTCCAAAGGGGCCCCAAGAAAGGAGGGAGGGGAGGGAGGGACCCGGTGGCCTGTGTGGTGGTGGTGGGTGGGTGGGGGGGGGGGGGGGGACCCCCCCCCCCCAAAAGGGGAAAAAAGGGCCCTTTTTAGCCCCGTTAACCCCGAATAAACCCCCCCCCCCCCCCCCCCGTTCCCGGGGGGGCCCCTTCCCGGGGGGGCCCCCCCAAACTCGGGGGGCCCCCCCCCCCGGGTGGCCCCCCCCCCCGGGGGGGCT